CATGTTGGAAAGTGTCTTGAGCAGGAATAACTGAACCCCAATTTGGGTTCCTGATGCCGCTGGCATGCCAGCAGGAGGAGCCAGGGATCAAATCGCCAACCTTCTGATTAGTGGACGACCCGTACTACCTCTGGAGCCAATTGTAGTTGTTTCATATGAATTTGATAAGAAGAGAGCAGGTTTAGGGCCTATTTGTTGTTTGGTTGTGAAGTACAAGGATGATATAAAATGATGAAATGCATAGAAATTGCTGTTTGCTTTTGTTTGTTAAGCATGGTGTTAGTAATGGAAATATTTTCTGAATATTGCGCTTTCTTGAAGTACTTGAATGTTAAAGTGGCCCTCCTATGAGATAATGCTACCAGCAGTGGCCCCAAGCCAATCTGAGTTTGAGACTCCTGCTGTACTTGTGGTGCTTAGCAACTCTCTTGCTTCACATTCTAATGCTACTACACATTCGGGCCCAGCTGTTTTTTTTTATGTCAATTATAGTGTTTACTATTTCTATAATGAGTGCAATTGTCTACCAACACTGAGTATAGAAACTAGTAATTAATCAGATTCAATGGCCTTCTAATGGCAATGGATTCAAATGCCTACCAGCTCCTGGGTTCTGCTCTAAAGTTTTGATGACCTCCTGAGATCAGTCAAAGTATTCATTTGTCAGCGTCACATTATTTATAGAGAGTTTGAAGCTGAAGAGTTTTAAAACAAGATGAAGATGTACAACCTTCTCTCTGCAGCTCGGCCAACGAGAAGCCACGTCAACATATAACTAAAGCTGTGATGGTACTATAATTTTATGACTCCATAACTTCACCTCCGCTGACAGAGCGCTCTGGCAGCCGAGAAATGGAACAAACATCATATATTTTAGTGGGGTTCGTGCCGCTCGGCCAAGTGGAGTAAAAATCAGCCTCATATGAATTCTGTTTTATGGTATTTCAAGAGTGGACTGTTGTACCAGACACATGTCAGATCCATACACAGGATTTCTCTTCACTCTATATTAAAATCACACTCAATTCAACTTCAACTGTGGAATATAACAAGTTCTATTCATAGCCACTGTGACTGCCTGCTTAAATCCCATATCAGCAGCAGTCTTGGTAAAGTGGTTTTTTGGCACAGCTCAAGTGTCATAGAATCAACTCAATGCTTAAAATGCAGATGCTTTTTAAGAGACAGAGAAAGAAATTAGAAATTATTGTCTAGGTTAGGGATGTTGCCATATACGATATTATCATGTATCGTGATAAAAAACACAAATTTATTGTGGTGGATTTACATTATCGTGACATGAAATTTTCCCCACCCCAATTCACTGGGGTGTAATGGAAGAATTTCACTGGATCAGCTAATGCAATATCAGAATCTCCCTTCCTCTTTTATAGAAATGAATTCTGTCTGAATGCTTTTTTGTCTCCGTGCTGCTTGTTAACACTGTCTTCTTTTTATCTGGCATTCATGTGAACCAGAAGAGGAACAGCAGGAACTCGAATTCTGGAAGAAGAACCAGCCCAAAGCAAACGGCCAAGGTGAGTGGTTTGTCAGAACATGAATATGACACTTTGTTATGAATTTTTTAAATACAGTTACATTGTCTCTGGCTGTTACTACCAGGAGAAATCCTGCAATTTGTAGTAACTTCAGTGTCTGTGTGTAAATCAGCCGACTTCTGTGTAATTGACACACCATTTTTGGGGAAGAGGAAGATTTCTGTTTTTGCTTCTTATTCACAGTTTCTGTCTTCTTTTCTTTATTCCGGGAAAAGTAAAATCAATTGATTAGGGGAGTTTTTCATAAAGTTTTGATTCATCAGCATGTGAATAATGATCACATTTTGAGCCTGTTCATGTGAATCTGGGGCAGCGCTGATTTCAGGGAATTTCCTGCTCATGCACTGTAAAAATACATCATGGAAACTTCTTTACATAAAGCTCCTCTGTTGCAGACAGGGCTTGTACTGTTCTTTATAGGGTGCAATAATTAATATAATCATCTTTTAATCATGTCATTATGATGACATTTTGATATCTTAACATACAGTTTGTCTCCTTTTCATTCTTGTCCACATGAAATGAAAAGCACAGTGCTATTTGCTTCTGTATATTTACGTGTTTCCTGGAAAAAGAGTTTGCTAATTGTGGTAGCCAATAGTGCTGAATGTATGTAACCCCGGCCAAGCATTGACAGCAGTCCTATTAGCTGACTATGCCAGACTGGGAGCTCCCAGTGAACGGCACGCCCAGACTGGGACCGAAAGCAGCATTTGATGCCAAAGGAGCCAGACGACAGAATACAGTACCAAGGTGTTTTTTCGGGGTTTGGCTCCTGGTACCCTGGGGAGTCAGCTAATGGTAGTTGCACAAGCTAGCGATTGCTAACATTACCATTAACGGCAGTTAGATACTGGGCATGTTCACGGGGAGGCTGCCTCGTTCCATTTCACCCAGATCACTGGTAAAGTTGTGTTTTTGTACAGTAATCTGTGAGGTCCGGCTCCCTAAAACACTCTTTCACTTTCTGGCAGAAAGCCATGCTGTTGCTAGCAGGCTAACTAATGAATCTTAGCTCTGTGTGTAAAAGTTGTAGATTGATTGATGGGTGGATGTCATGATATTATTGTTAAAGTTTAAACATGTAATCATGTAAAAATGCTTTTGAGATAAAACTACAGAATTTTTTGGCATAGATTGTTATATAGGGGTACAATATAATGGGGGGTGCAATGGGTTAAAATCACATTTTTCATTTTCCTCTTGCGCTAACTGTAAAGCCACAGCGTCTTATCACTCAGTAGCTTTGTGTGTGAATGTTTGTCTCAAACCACAGCAGAGAACCTGAGGTGTCAGAGGCTCGGGCTGCCTGATGTTGGGGGTGATGACGGTGACGGTGGTGGTGATGATGGTGACGATGGTGGCGACGAAGACTACCACAGGAGTGACCCTCAGATAGCCATCTGTCTGGACTGCCTACGGAACACGGGACAGTCGGGGGAAAGCACTGTCACGGTGTGTGTGTTTTGGTAATTGTGTGAAGTACCGTGCTGTACTATATAGCTTTTCATCAGTGTTTCTATGAAAGGGAAAATTACATTGGGGGAATGTTTTTTGGACCACTGCTGGGTTGGTCAATGTTTCCAAGCTCCTTGGATGGTCAGTATCTAACCTTTTGTAAAGGTTTGAATGTGTTTTGGGGTCTTTTCCTGGAAGAATATACATTTGTCTTTTGGCTGCCTCCCTCATTAAGTCAGGCCATAATAGAATTTGTCTCTCATCCAATTAGGATTTGATGAAGAGGTTCATCCGCTGCTCCAGTAGAGTCACCGTGGGAACAATTAAGAAGTTTCTCAGTCTTAAACTAAAGCTGCCGAGCTCTTATGAGGTAAGGAACAAACTCACAACTCTTTGAGAGGTTTTCTATTTTTTTTTACTGGCCCAGTCTCAGACTAATTCATCAATCAGTATCATACCCTTTAATGTGTCTGCACGTTATTTGAAGGTATGTTGATCAGTAAGAATAGCTTAGCTTAGCTTCAACTGCAACTGGATCAAATAGCAACTTTTCTGCTTGGATAAATACACATTTAAACAGATGTATACTTGATCCACCCAAGCTCCATATTTGCAATCAACATATATGTTAAATTCACTATTAAGACTATTATATTTGTATGCTGTTTTGCTGACTACAGTTCAGTGAAGTCATGCAGCTGATGTAGCAACATGACCTGGCTAAACTTCCTCTCCTGAATTTAGACCATGACTATTATTATTACTGAGGTGCAACTTCTGTTTAGTGGACTCATACTGTAAAGCCTATAATTACATATAAGGCTAGTAGACCTGACTACCAGCATCATTATTCAAACACAGTATGTGCAAAATGCTAGCCAGTTTAATGCAAGATAAGGAACATTTACTCAATTGTAAAAAGAGGTTTAGTATAAAAGAATATTAACGACTAGCATCATGTTTGTAATAACCGACTAACTGAATATCAGAAAACAAAACATAAATAATATATAACCACAATAGTGCAATCAAAGCAAGGTAAAATAGAATATGGCTCAAGATAGTATAAACAGTGTAAATAAAAATGTTAGCGCATAATATAATAGTGAATATTAAGAGTTCCAGCGTTTCAATCACACAAACTATCACAGACGAATAACACAGTGCACAACAGGAGAAGATTAATAGACCATTTGATTCAAAGATCGCACATTATGAAATGACATTGTAGGCAACTTTATGGTATATATCATGCCAACCACTTATTTTCAACCACAATACCTATGGTAATTACCCCTCATAAGTAGAGCTCCTAGAGCGATTCAAACTTTCAGAGATTTAATTGCGAAGTGACTAGGGATGTTGTGAATAGACATTTTTAAATTGGGAAAGCTGTCACAAGATATTACTACGGAGAGAGAGAGAGAGGAGTCTAAAACCTATGATTTCAGAAACAAAATATCTGAAGAATCCACAAGGACTGCTCTTAAAAACCTTTCATATAATGCATGAAAAAGCAAACGGGCTGTTCAGAGACTGCAGAAAGAAAGTTATGGTCTCTTAATTAAAAACAAACTCAAACTTTTAGTTTAACTTTGACTCTCAAACCACTCTGGTTATGAATTATCAAAGAATTAAAAAATATTGGCTTCCATATCTGCTGAAGACTGAGCAGTGTAACACACACAGTCTTTCACACATGCAGTGCAGCCTCCCACTCATTACCACAGTGAACTTCCCCTTTACTTCCCCCTGTGTGCATTGGGACTGCAGCCCTTTTTATTTTAGTTTCACCTTGTCGTTCTCTGTATCTTGTCGCCCCTTGACAGATTTTTGCACCACATTGTCACTTTTATTAAATGACCTTGGTTCTTTAAGTACTTCATTTTGCCATAAATGTATCTTATTTCTGATCACGTTTCTCTGCTGCGTGCAGCTGGATGTGCTGTGTAACGGAGAGATCATGGGCAGAGATCACACTCTGGAGTTCATCTACATGACCCGATGGAGGCTACATGGAGAGAATGTAAGGCTGTCACCCTCACTTCCTGTTTGTGTGTGCATGCTCATGTGTAGATGCATTGGTGCAGTAAAGGCATTTGTTCATGTGCGCGTGTGCATGTGTAATGCATTCACACTGTGGGCACTGGCCTCCCCAAAGAGGAACTAACAGCTCACCCCCACAAGGTTAAACTCTTATTTTGTGGTTAAGACTTTGTTTTAAGTTCAGGTTTAGAATTAGGTTCAAGTAAAGACCAGGCGGCAGAAGGAACAGTAAGGTTAAGATTAATGTAAGATTCAAAGTTAATAAATAATTTGTTCTCAGAAATAGTGCAACTACTGTGTATTTGTGTATATGTGTGTGTGTGTGTGTGTGTGTGTGTGTGTGTGTGTGAAAACTTCTCTATTCAGTGGTAAATAGTTCCTGCAGGAACTTTTTATTCCAAGAATATTTCATGACTCGACTGCAAAAGGGATGTTTTTTGTTATGTTGTTAGTATAAAATGCTGAAATTTTGGAACCAGTCGCATTTTTAAGATGACACCTTTGCTTTCAAGATGTTTTGAAAGTTTTACTATCTACACTGCAAAAACAGCTCGTCTAGAAACAAGCCAAATATTCTTAAATACAAGCACATTTTCTTGTATTGAGCAAAGTAATCTGACAGTGGGGTTAGCCAAATTTGCTTGGCTAGAATCTTGGCTAGAATCTTAAAACTAGCATACAAATCTAGCCACTGAAAGACTGTAACGGGCCTTAAAACTAGAAGAAATGCCAAAAAGTTGTGCTTATAACAAGCAATGAAAACTCAGTTATTTAAGATTCTTAAAATAAGTATTTTGATGACTTTATTGAGCCGAATTCAATAATTTGTATCTAAGATTAATAATTAGCAAAACAAAATCTTACAATAAAACACATTCAAAACGAACGAAAAACTAAACTGCTGCTTAATTTCCAACACTGGGACAAGACCACTTTCTCTTAAATTGAGAAGTTGTGCAAGTGGTCTCTTCTCTTCTTTACTCTTAAAATAAGGGAAACGATCTTGTTCCTCTGCTGGGATATTATGCAAACCAACTTGTTACTGGTTAAATCAAGCTCAGTATTAGCTGTAATATCTTGAGATTCCTTTTTTTGCAGTGTAGAGCCAGTGTGTGGTTTGTCTGACTGCAGAAACGTGGCGGTACGAAAATATAATAATTCTTATTTTCAGGTGATTATGCACTAATGAAAACATAACTATGAATCAACTTTTGGAGACTTTTAAACATCTGTATGAGGTTCTTATTGTACACACTGATGAATAATATTCATGATATCCGACATGAATAATAACTGAATAATAATAAATAACTGTTAAGTTTCTTTTGTATACCATCCCAAGAATGAATGTCTCTTCCTGAAGTTTAACTTTACTATATTTGAACAGTAGAGAGTCAGCAAAGGAAATGCTTTACTGATGATAAGACTGCGGTTTTGGGTCCTGTAGATAGAGACACACAAATTCTATGCCTGGTGGTGATCTTCAGGGAATTAGAGCATAACGACATAGAGATACACACAAAACAAACAATGTCCTGAATTTCGAGGTGTAAAATTTGAATTAGGATAGAGCTACAATAGCACACACTCAGGAGGAGATGTCCTGGTTTAAACGCGACGGCATTCTCAACCTCAGCCTTTAGGGTCATCAGTCCACTCTGTGGCTCAATGTGTGTGTGTGTGTGGTGTGTGCTCATGACCTTGAGCTACAGAACGATACGTGCTTGCCAGTGTTTGAATGCATGCATTCCTGTACATGGTGACTTGTTTATCTGTTATCTGCACGTGTGTGTATGTGTGTGTGTATTTATATGAACGATTGAGCGAATGAAAGGTCCCGTCCACTTGTGGACGCCAACTGAGGAGTGCAGACAGCTGGCACCACAGGAGGCGTCAGATACCGGGTCAGGAGGAGGATGATGGGAGGAGGTGGAGCAGGGCAAAGAAGAGGGAAAGGAAAGTCAGTATGAAATGAGAGACTTATAATGTCTGCAGTTTCTCAGCTCCAGCTGTGCCCACATGTCCATTTAAAGGGATGATATAAATAAAGCAACCACATCATTTCTCACAAACAGGAAACTTTTTATATATATTGGCAAAATCCTTCTTTTACGTATATATAATAACTCCATGTTCCTAGTCAATATAAATCATACAGCATAATAAGCAGAAAATCAAACACAATTACTTTTAATTGTTAGTTAATAAAGTGTATTACAAATCTAAAAAAATGCTAATGGCCATACAATTTTTCTGCCAACACAGAGCTGTTTGACCTTAATATTCCAGTTTGAACTGACATCTGTCTTATGTAATAATGAGATACAGATTGTCTGTTTAGCGTGCCAGATTGTCAGAATTGTAGGTCATGTCATTTTCCATCTGGGCCTTTATCCCATATGGAAAAGCTGTGGATACACAGTTTGTGTAAACATTATGTCACAGGATCAACAAAGTGTACGGCTGTGGCTAGTAATCCCTGCAAGTAGTACACCAGTGACCGTAGTTAGAGTGACTGATGATGAGGCTAACGGGCATCTTCTAGAACTTTGGATTTTCTTTGGTTACTAGGTGAGCATATTTGACCACAAGGATAAAATCTATTTTACTATTATTATTTTAGGAGAGCCTCTTAACCAGCCGGTAGGGCCACAAGTGTTCAACAACTGCTAGACTAATAATCAAGGCTGTCCTAGTCTGTTGCAGGACACATTTTGGATTGGTCATCTACAGATGAATTCCATACCTGATGTTCAATTCAATTCACTTCAGTTTTATTTGTATAGTACCAAATCATAAGCTATTATGCACTAAAGTCAGACAAAATATGAGATGAATAAATCCTGCAGCCATCTTCACTGTGGGAGACGGAGCAAAAGATATGTGTATCTGTGCGTATGGAGAGGTCAAGGTCTGCTAGGTAACAATACAGTGTGTTTTAAGAGACTCACTTAATTCTGAGCCCATTTTCATAAAATTTAGTTTGTTATAAATGTGAAAAATTGGACCTGATAATGGTTACTTCCTGGAATCAAATTCAGTTACTGAGTGCGGATCTAATCAGCTCTATGTCAAAACATTAACCCTTCTGAATAGCCACTGATCGTTTTCACAAGTTTGTATGAATGTGGACTTTTAAAACGTAAAGAAAAAACTTACATTTTTAACAAAAGCGTTCTGTAAACAGGGCCTCGGCTCAACAAGCTCCATTAGGAGGAGGAATACCTGATCATTCTGTATGAAATTACATATGTTGTGGCATTGTACTCCAAGTACAAGACAAAGTCACATTCACTCCACATGAACTCTCTGAATTTGAATGCGTGAAGATGGCTTCACGTAAAACACTGTGTTTAATTTCTTTTCTATTACCTAGCTCCATTATGAGTAAAATCTTGTCTGCAGTGCTTCCTCCACCTCCACTCTGCCCACCTCTCTCATGTTCCAAAACAACAAACAGAAGTCAGTCCATCAGAATTATTTATGTCCTGCCTGGTGAGTCAGAAGGATAAACACCCCAGAAATTATTTTTGAATCCTATTGGAACTCTGTCTGGTTAAGGACAAGGTAAGGAGAGGAGTGACGGAGAGGGTGAGAGAGACAGATACAAAGCATGAGAGTCAGGAATGGAGACAGAAGAGGGAGAGAAAGAAGATACGAGTCATTCATCAGTCTCATCCTTCTGACAACTCCACAGCTCGGCTTCTGATTACCGCCATGGTGATGTAAAAAAACCTTGAGACTCAAAATGTATCTGGGAAATACTGCTCTCTGTTCTGAATGGGTAATGAACACACTCTGAGGTCTATTATTGCTAACTGGCAGTTCATTATATCGTTCAGCAGTTAATTAAGACGTTTGCTCAGTTTGGTTGATTTCTGTTTAAATTAACTGTCAACACTTAGCTCCAAAATATGCTGTATTTTCAGATAAGATCCAATATTGTCAGTCTTTCAGTAACTTAAATAGAATTACAAAGGCTGACTGCTATTGAATCATTTGTCCCAGTAGCCCGGTCTCTATCAAAAGTTATGTGAAAACCTCAGATTTCCACACAGTCCTAGAACATAAAAGTTTGCGTCCTGCACATAGTTCAGTTATAAAATCCCAGCGCACCACAGAGCATCCCTGCTGCTGGGCTGCTGACAACGCCACCAGCCTAAGAGTCAGTCACCGTGGACGGCATTAGAGGAGGTCGTACCACTGCCTGGATCAAAAGTGGTTCACTGACAGTCATCACCAGAGCAAAGAGCATCAGAGCAGCCACTGCCGTCTGTTAACTACCACTCTTCTCCGCTTCCATCACATCATTTTGTGGTTTGTCATTTTGAGACAAAAAGTTTACAGCCTCTGTGTACAATGACACATCTAAAAAACTAAAGTGCAGGGGTTGAGTAACGACATGCAAGTCGAGTCAGTGTCTTCACAACTGATAGTTAAAATCGAGTTTTCAGGGGCAGCCCCAGGTTAGGGTAGGTAAAGATGGTGGTTTGTTAATGCAAATTAGTTGGAGTTCTTAGGAAATGAGATTGGGATCTGTCCATCTAGTGATGGGATTGCACCAGCCGTGATGCCCGTCAAAATTTTGGCATTTCAACCCATGAGTACTCAGTAGTCATTACTACATTATTATATGAATATTCATCTTCAATACTGCAAAGCCAACCCCGATCACTATGGCAAGCCAAGATGGCAGCAGTTGCATCAGAAATGGCTTAATTTTTGTACAATGGAAAGAAGTGGATTCACGACGTCCATCTTTTATGATGGTTGGAAAAAACATATTATGCAGAATGTAGTACAAAATTTCATAAAATCAATACATTTGGTCAAAGGATGAGTAGCAGTAGATAGGGAGAGGCAGGTGGTCATAAAGAAGACCTCTGACCTGAACCTGACTGTCCAGATAAAGCATCTAAACAACATACTAGCAGTCTAAATACCAGATGCTTGCTGACTATTGTGTTTAATATACAGAGCTGTCCCACATAGTTCACATGGATTAGGAGTGTTCACATTGTTTTCAAGCACAAAACGTATCTTAGCCCGATATCAGCCCGAGGTCACAAATAGCTGCTGTGACTGAGTCGTTCCTTACCTCCTGTAATTGAGAAGCAGTGGATTCACCTCATTAGCACAAATCAGTTTCAGGTGTTGGCACCAGAAGCAGGAACGTTTTTGGCCTGAGTGATGGAACAAAACTAAAGAGTGAAACCCACTGCTTTTTCCTAAACACCTTCAAGCAAGTGCTCCCAGAGACTGACAAGATTTATCATGAACATGCACACAAGAGGTCTTTGTCAGTTATAAACATGTTTTAACGTTTTTATGTTTAACAATGTTTTCAGGCATTGGAAAAGACTGATACTGTTCTGTTTTGCATTGCATTTAGGCCAACGTTTCCACTTGACCAATACTTTCATGATGAGATTGCAATGAATTTGTTGTGAATAATCAGTATCCCCAGAGACATTTCATGAGCTTCAACTACCTTAAACACCAGAGGGGGCACATTAAAATAGAATACATTTGCATTAAGCACAATAACCACATTATTCCTGTAGGATGTTTACTGTACAAACCACTTAATTGACATTTTGGCTGTACCAAACACCATTTATTTCAGGTTTTTCACGTTTGTGGATTTTTGCTGGTGCTGCACATTGGACGATTCTACATTTCAGTCATTTGACACCAGAACAAAAACCCTTAAAACTAGCTGACAGCTGAACAGAATACGTGTTAGTGCCGTATAATTAAAGTGTTTGGGGACAGAAATGCTGAGTGAAAGAGTGTCAGAGATGCAGACACAGAGGCACAGTGACAGTCTGGTTAGGGTGGGTTCAGTGTTGTTCTTTTTTTCTGAGACATGATGCAGCAAAAAGCAGAAAGCCGGAGGAGATGACAGCAGCTGTACTCTGCTGCACCAGCAGCCTCGAGCTGCCAGAAATAGGAGACAGACTCCAAAAACACGACACACAGTCTTCACGTTGCAGCTGCTTTGACACAAACACTCGCCTTTTTTCTTTTTGAATTTTTTATGAAAAGAGCAGCTTACATCTTTTGACTGTTTCAAATGTGCTTTACAGCCAAAGGAGGCAGGAATGTACGAGTAGTCCTGAAAGGTCAAGGGTACTCTGGGTCAAGGCTTCTCCATTGGCACTTTTGGTTGTGTTATCAGTTTAAACACAGAGTTGTGCCGAGTCACGGCCGAGATGGACCATCTCCAGTGTCGTTTCAAAAGTTTGCCTGACCCGCCTCCATGCTGGTTGCGTTGAGTCAGATCATCTAAATCAAATGGTAGTTCCCTCTTCTAGATCTATTTCGTCATCCTGTCTCCGTTTTTCAAGAAATAAGCCAAGCAAAATCATAACAACAGCCTGAAAATTTATGGTACAATTTGATAAGCAGGGTTCTGGATTTAGATTTGATGGTACTCCTAATATGAAGAGTGGCTTGTTACGCGTGTTAACACTTCTACTCTCTTCATCTTCTGTATTTCATAGATACCAAGATACATTTTGGAAATTTAACTTTTCAATTGAGCTTCAGCAGAGCGAGCAGCAGCCAGGCCTTTATTACTTTTTCTCAAAAATATTTCAGACAATTGGCCTCCGCGCCATCCCTGCAGAGTTTTATGGAAACGGGTTTACATTCTTCTTTAACTTCAAATTCAGAAGTTTTAAGTCAGATGAAATAAGAGTCTACCAGTTTTTTCTTTCTCTCTGTCAGAAAAACCCAGGCACACCCGAGCTTCGACAAGCGGGTTAAAAAGTAAAAAATCTGTCTGGCTTGATAAGACTGCAGATCGAAGTGGAGCTTTATCCTGCACAGACCCTTACACAGCCAATGTGATACTTGATTAATGAAGCCCTCTTCATGTTTCCTCATTTTTTCTAAATTCATTTGACAACTTGTGGCCTCAATGAGTCTGAGGAAATGAGCGAGATGGGAAACAAATATTAATCTCTTCTTTAAAGGCTTTATCTCTCTCAGTTACAGGGTGATTCGATGAGTAGAGGATTTTAACCATTTATCTGGTACAAAACATTACAAACATTATCTGACTATTATCCATTATCTAACCAAAATAAAGCAATTCCATCAACCCTAGTCCATATCACTTCCATGTAAAGGTCTTTGGATTTTGGACCCGATCCAAAATGGACCTGTGGAAGGCCTACCCAAACCTAAGGGGTTATTGAGTCCCAGAATTGGCTGATAAAGTTGAAGTTTTAGTTAATTTTTCTTTACCACCAGTAAATTAAAAATGTATTCATTTTACTGTCCCATTAATGTTTTACTGGAAAATAATACTTAATTTTTGCATTTGGCCCCTGTCTTTACTGTATTGTAAATATTTTAGTATTTTTCACTATTTGAGACATTTAACTCACATTAACCTGATTCAGTTCAGTTTGTTGTTCTTCCAGACCAGCAGTAGTCAGGGTCTGCGTTTGGTGTAGTGTGTGTGAGTGTGTATCAGCACATTTCATGCTTTATTGGTGTAACAAGGGTTGAAAATACAGTTTGATGTAACAACTGTTCTCGCATCTTTTAAAAATGGAGTGTTGCAGCAGTAGCAGCAGCAGCTGTGTGTTTATCCTCTGAAGTGTGCTTATTTTACAGTGCGAGGAGGGCCAAACGATCGATTCTCCCTCTCTGAAGCAGTTTCTCTTTTTTCTCTTTCTTCCTCAGACGTATCCCATGGTTCTAGAGTACCGGCCGCGTATCGACTTTGGCTGAACCACAGCTGCAGGAAGAGGACCACACACACTCTCACACACATAAGCAGACATACTTACCAGGACGGACAACATTTTGAACGTAGACATAAACGTACACATGCCCACAATGTGCAGAGAAAGAGAAAGATTTAAATGTATTTTTGTACAGCCAATGATGAAGTGCATACGTTGTTATGGTAAAGAGGTTTTATGCTACATAGAATAATATATGCTATAATATATGATATTTTTAAATGTATGTCCCTGTGCCTAAAAACCTGTTGAGATCAGAAAAAGTATGACCATATCTTTACTTTGCCTGTCTAACTCTGTAGATTAAATGTTGATTTTCTACTGTTGATGGGTGTTTGTTTCTGTAGGTTGATTTTATCACTTTGGGTCTGACTGAAGCTAACACAACTAACAGCTTAAAACATGTATGCTTTAGTTGGATCTAATGCTTCCCTATAGATGAATGGCTATCAGTCAGGTACAGTATGTTCGCTTTATAAGAAGTCCAAACAAGAGGTTCTTTGTCAGTGATGCCACAGGTTGGAATATCTACAGTAAGAAACCTTATTATGTAGGGTGCATGCCCTACCAGGTGAGCTTCATTTAAAGAGAGACAGTAAAATTAAGCTTGAAGTGAATGATATGAGTACTTCTGTCATTCTCATCCAAAAATACACACGCATACAATATATTTTTTGGTGTTGTGGTCAGGGTCAGTCTGCTCACTAAAACAGTCACCAGGTGAAATATGTTGGCGTCTGAATTTATGAATGAAGAGAACAGACAGAATGATGAACAGGCCGGAATCTAAGTGATGAGACACACACACACACACACACACACCTCATGTCGACCTATATATACACTGTAGTAGAGCAGGTGCATCAGATGGCATGTAAGCATCCATTCCACTCCGACGCCTATACTTGTGTGAAGCATATCGATGTCTGCTCACACACAAACTGACAGGACAAACACACCTTCTCTGACAGTTTTACACACATACACTTACCCCTTCTACGCTCAAACGTTTCCTCACACACATTCATCCTTCCAGCTGCTCAATCTGCCCTTGTAGTTGTTTTTTCAGGTCAGAGTTATGCAGGCCAGAGGTCCCCGCGGTTCTTTATATGACCCGCAGAGATGCTGCTGACCCCTCAACACTGTAATACCCTGTGGGTTTATATGAAGAGATGAAGGGGAGGACAGGAGACAGATCTTCCATATGAGTAGTAACCACTTAAACAGTCAGTGGAGTCTAAGTGTTAAAGAGCTGCCCCCAGCTAAAGATTTTCCTAGTCAAGTAGTAGTTGTTAGTTCAAGCCATTAGTTAACTAGTCCTTGCATGTTTATGATATTAATTAATAAATTAATTTTCTTTTTTAACTGCCGCTTGTTAAATGCTAACAGCAAAAGCAGTAATGATTCTGAATAGTGGATCAACCAGCAAGAAGACCAAACATTTAGTTAATTTAGTTAAGTTAGATTGTTCAAAACACAGAATAAATAACTTACAAATTCACAAAAACAAAAACGTATCAACATGATGGACGATGTATAGCGTTACTTACAAATTAACTCGCTACAAACTCGCTCCTTACCCGAACCCGCTGTGTCTTCAACGTCCCCCAGACTCAGAGTCCTGGTTGGAGCCGCTGTAATTCACAAGGCTTCCGTCAGTCTATTGGTCTGTGAGCCCGGTTCCATTGCCCACTTGCCCAGCTCCTGTTCTGGTGCTCATTCCAGCCTCACTTCACAACAGCATTCCTGGCTGGGTCCCCCACACCCCAAAACCTCCTCCTCCCAACAGTCCAAATTCATCCATCCTTCCAGCTTCCAGTCTAGGTAGAGTCAGTTAATAGGGCTGCTAAGTAGCTAATGGCAGCAGCTAGCACAGTCAGCGATATTTTTTTCCACAGGATGGCAAAGTCAGCCCTAGTCTGCCTTTGATTTGCATACCCTGACATTCTTACCCTAGCCATAACCAGTGTAACACAGTGAGTGCGCAGAGGCAAGATACTGGAATTTTCTCTCTTTTTTCTCCAGAGCATTTACATACTTAAAAATACCGACCCTAGCTCTAAGGGGCAGCCCTAAAAAACCGATGGCTCCATCAGTACACGCTCAAGCTGTGCAGTAAAATCTTGTTCAAACCCAACAACATTTTATACATACATTTTATTTTATGTTGTTTCCAACAACAAAGATTTTTACCTTTATTAGATAAGGATGGTGAAGAAGCAGACAGAAAATTGGGGTGGGAAAGAGGGGTACGATGTAACAAAGGTAGCCGGCTGGAATCAAACCAGCCATGGTTGCAACCCTGTTGCTTGTGGCCTTGTGCATTGTAACTATTTGACGACAGGGGCACTCAATTAAATTAATCTTTAAATTTGAGAGGTCTGCTTTGTCTAAACCAAGTCCTACATTTCCCAGGGTACTACTCAACAACCGTCTACAGGGGTTGTGTGAACGTCTCTTTCCTCAGTGGGTTCGCTATCTGTGTGGGTGGAGAGAGTGATAATGAGTGTTATCAATACTGAAACTAACAACAACAAAGCAATAATTTTTCCAGCTGGGAAAAAGTGAATGTTTCTGTCTTGAAGCTCAGAACACAAGGTGCATTCTGGTCCAGTGAAACCGCTGCGACAAACGACTTTCACTTCCTCTTGTTTGATTCATTGCAGGTTGTCAAACAGAAAACAAAAAAGGACTGGGGGAAAACTGTAACAGACACTTTGTATCGATGACGTAGGAGCCGAGTCATTACAAGTTCTTTACTAGAGCGTGACATACTGTGATATATTTACATTTTACTTTATTTTTTGTACTTTAAGTACTTTTATCATATCAAACCAGTCTAAAAGCATCGGGAGCAATTCGGGGTTCAGTATCTTGCTCAAGTATACTTCGAAATGTGACGGGAGGAGCTGGGGATCGAACTGACAACCTTTCCGATTAGTGGACGACCAGCTCTTTCTTTGAGCCACAGCCGCCCCATTTAGTGGCATCTAGTGGTGCAGTTGCAGATTGCAACACCGCTTGCGTCTGTATTTGATTACCTGGGAATGACAACGGGCTGTGTGTAGGAGAAACTACGGCTGCAAAACTGAAAAACACACAAAAGACCTCTATCTAAAGCCAGAAAAACTAAAAAAACAGCTCATTCTAAGTCAATGAAAGCACAATGATATCTATATTCGGGTGATTATACACTAATGAAAACATATACCTATGAATATTATATTCCATTTCTGACAATAGATCTTCCTGAATGTTACACACTGGACCTTTAAATTTGGATGATTGTGCAGTACTATAAAGCATTATAGTGACAAATTAATGCCATTTATGCCAGATACCTCAGAGCACAGAAAAAGCAACAATAGAAAAGCAGAAAAGGCTTCTTGTCCTGCATTGGTTATTTTTTTTGTACGTAAGAATTAGGAGACAACAGAAGATAAAGCAGATTTCTACAATCCAAAGTTAGTTGTGCAATTTGAACAACACAAAACAAATCTCCAAACAAAAACACTAATACTTTAGTCTGAATTTAATCCACCTTCTAAAGACATCCTTTGTCACATTAAATTGGATCCTGAGACCTCCTCTGAGTCCTTCGGCTCTGGACTCCTGCCAGTTTGCCGGACAGTAAGACACAGTGCAGTGACATCAGTGATATTGAATACAAACAGTGTCTGGCACAAGACACGGATATGTCTTATCCCCGCAGCTCAGGTAGACTCACTGACAACAGCAGCACCATCAGAGTTTCAACCTTGGATCCACCCGTCCTTTTATTAGAAATGTATTATCCTCTAAGGACACTCTTCAGTGTGATTCTACCATAGGCTGTAAGGCTTGAATACCATTGTCAATTCGTCAGTGAGATTGAAAGTTCATCCTTGACTTTGGAAACAGATGTCAGCATTGCATCATTAGCGAGGTGTGTTAGATGTGTTAAATATTTCTCTTGCTGATTAAAAAGATACAGATAATAGTGCCAGACAGACAGCACAGGGCGGCTGTGGCTCAGAGTCCCCAAAAATCAGAAAGGTTTCAGTTCGATCCAGGCTCCTTCCCGCCACGTGTTCGAAGTATCCTTGAGCATAAGAATACTGAACCCCGAATGCTCCCGATGCGTAGCAATCGTGTGTGGAATGTGTATAAATGAGTTAGTTTCTGTTCCGATGACTTTCATCGCTTGTGTGATTGGGAAAGGGTGAAGTGCACGTAGTGTAAAAGACAAGTACAGGTCCATTTACCAGTGTCTGTGTTCACACAGGATCATGAGTTATAATATTTTTCAGCACTATGGTCCAGAGCAAGATATCTCAACAACTAATGGCCAGATTTCAACTCAACTGTC